AAGTATTTCCCCCACCCAAATTCGAATTCAAAGAACGCCAGTAAGTAGATTCTTCGTTTTTGCAGATTAATTAGTATATCTAAAATGTGTTCCTGATTCAGATTGTTATTATATATATATAGTATGTTTGTTACGGGATACGACACTTCGCTTCCTGACGACGACGACGCTATTATTAGCGCTGTGAGTTAGGGGTGGAATTATTATCCGGATCCAAAATCCGATCTATTATCCGTTCGGAATTCCTCCGAAAATTAGGATATCCGGAGAGTCCGGATCCGGATAAGAATAGTAAAATCTAGGATCGTGAAAAGAGGATCCGAATCCGGATAGCAAAATTTTAAGGTCCGGATATCCGGATCCGGAACCGGACGCATTAAATATATTCAAAACATATATATTATATATCTATTAAGCTAATTTTATATAAATAAATATATATAAACATTTATTTTAGTTCTTTTTATAATAAATTATATTTATAATGAAAAATACCATTAAAATATTAACTAATAATTTTTAAAAATATATTTTTATTTATTTATTTATTTATTATTATAATTATTTTTTAATATTAATTTCGGATTCAGATCCGGATTTTTGGCCGGATATCTAGAGGTCATAGATCCGGATCCGGATAGTTTTTCCACAGGTCCGACCATTCCGGATCCGGAACCGGATACCTTCAAATTCCAAAACCGGATCCCTTCAAATTCCAGGATATGCGGAATCGTGGAACGGCTACTGTGACTAAGCATTTCTCTTCATGTGGAGAGATCGTTGCTGTTCTTGTTGCTGAGTCCGACGGGTTTGTGGCTTCTTCCTCTAATTTTCCCAATTATTTAAAGTCTAATTGCTAAAGACTTGGTTGATTTTTACAGGTTTTGTCTCGTTAGTATTAGGGGAGACAGAGCCACAGAGAAGGCGGTGGAGCTTAATGGCTGCAAATGTGATGTTGTGGGAGGATGTAAGATCGTAGTTGATGGTGTTTTGCCGGAACATGACCGAACCAATATGGAGCCCAATGATATGATCTGTGGCGGCTATGATCTCCCAGGTACATACATGATTCTTGGTTCTTGGTAACAAAATTTGTCGTTAATTCGTGGTTTGTTTTAGATTGGTTGTTTCCTCCGAAACCTAAGATGAGTGAGGGAGACAGTGACGGGTTCTCGAGTGAGGGAGAAGAAGAGACTTTTGCTGGAGGTGCAAAAGATAAGACTGAATGAATCATCACCACTACATGAAGTGGTTCTTGAATAAAGGCTTTCTCTCTTCAGAAGACCAAGTAGAAGCTCTCTCTCTCTCTCTAATGCAATAGTCTATTCATATTTAAATTTGCATATATAGTCTATGTAATGCAATAGTCTATTCATATTCAAATTTGCATAGCAGCATATAGTTATATATATTCATCTTACCGAAATATTACCTCTATTAATTTAATAAAGACACAAAATAGACAATTGGAACCGCCTACTACTTTAGGTAGGTATCAATCATCAAGGCAGAGTAAATGATATTTTTGCTACTCTTACACAACTGTTTAATTGGAGACGAGAATGTAGGCATCATCGATGAATGTTTTAATAGACCGAGTAGGTGATGATCTTGCATTTCTTACAAGCTAAATGACAGTTGCATGAATGTTATTGGGTTAAATATTAAATCTTCTATCGCTATTTGTAATATGACTTAAGACACTCTCTAGAATTTTTAGCAAGACCACAGCTCGAAACAAACCCATGTAATTAGGTTTTTAGCAAATAGTTCATTACATCAATGAAGTTATCTACTTTAGATTTCTATCTTAATAAAATTCTAAAAGCATGAATGTATTTTGCTTTTGATTCTACTTACAAAACCCTAGACAGATTGGACATCGATCCGGTTTTAAGCCCGAATAGGTTGGCTATAGTTGGTGACTCAAACTATGAGTTTCCAACATTTCAATATATGAAAATAACACAAAACAAATTACTCAGAAACCCCAACTATCATTACACAAAAAAATCCCACACGAAAGCAATGTCCTACAATTATTTAAAAGATCACACAATAAAGATAGGACCCGAATAAAAACAACAAGATAAACACACAAAAGCACGAAACTTCAAATTAACAACAGAGTTAATTAATAAGAACACAAAGCCTTATCCAGTATATCCCCCTCCGGTTCCGTACCCAGTGGTACCACCACCACCAACACGTGTGTTATGAGCCGTGGTCCGACCAGTTCCAGTATTCGTACCAATCGGTTCAGTCACAGCTGTTCCCTCCACAACATGGCCTGTTGGATGTCCCGTTCCATGACCAGGCAAAGCCGACATCTGGTGAGTCCCAGTTCCATGTCCGACATGTCCAGTGGTCGAATGAGTAGCCGAACCCAAACCTAAACCGGTTCCGGTTCCGGTTCCAGCTCCACCTGCTTGTTTCATGGCTGCGTTGTACTCTTGCGCTTCTCTCTTCTGCATCTCAGCTTGATTAATCTTTCCTTCTTTCTTCTGTGTAGCCATTTGTTTCTGAACAGGATCTCTCGTCTTCATTTTTTCCGCCTTTATGAAAAAACCAAACACAAGAACACACAACATTCACTTAACCGAATATCACACAAAAAAAAAACATCATTTTATTTGATTGATGAAAAAATGATATAACCACAAAATAGTTACCTTTTCCTCCAAGGTAGCTTTGGTTTTGTCCATGCCTGATTTTGCAGAAGCCGCAATGTTCGAAGCTGTTTCTTTCATCGACTGCATTTTTTCCAAATCTCTCTTAGCTTTTCCTTTAGTGAAATTCAAGTTTATTTC